GTACAACAGCCTTTCTTCAAGAAAATAGTTTTTGGTGCTCACCGCTTGAATACGAAAAGAATTCTCTCTTAATAGCTCACCATGACAAAAGATGAATTAAAACAGCTCATCGATTACCTTTACCGTTAAAAGCAAGACAAAACATGAAACTAAATATAAATTCTCTGCAATCTTTGTTTTGTTTTTTTGTTTTTTGTTGTTGCTGTTGTTGTTGTTGTTGTTTTTTTTGCCCATAACGTCGAAGTACTGACATCTATAATTTGATCAAAAAACTCCATGATCTTATTATGTTGTGTACTTACAGGTGACCCAAAATTATGTCCAACTTCATGTGCAAAAGTGATCTCGGATACTCTCTGCGGCACTGCTTTTCCATAATTGATAAATGTTACTACTCCTGTGTTTAAGATCTTTTTGCCATCACTGTAACTCCTCTCTTTTTCACAGATACCTCCAGCATCTTGAATATACCAGACCAGTGTTATTTATATATTTATTTTGTTAATTCAATCCTATAGTATCTATCTAATACTATCCATCCCTGCATTTATCCATCCAATCTCTTCCATCTATCCCATCCATCCAACTAATCCATCCATCCACCCACCCGTCCTTTCCATACATCTGTCCTTCACCAGTCCATCCATCCTATCCATCCAATCCCTTTATTATTCAATCTGTCTGTCCATCCATCCTATCCATCCAATCCCTCTATTCAATCCGTCTGTCCATCCATCCATCCTATCCATCCAATCCTTCTATTCAATCTGTCTGTCCATCCATCCTATCCATCCAATCCCTCTATTCTATCATTCTGTATGTCCATCCATCCTATCCATTCAATCCCTCTATTCAATCCGTCTGTCCATCCATCCTATCCATCCAATTCCTCTATTCAATCTGTCTGTCCATCCATCCTATCCATCCAATTCCTCTATTCAATCTGTCTGTCTGTCCATCCATCCTATCCATCCAGTCCCTCTATTTAATCCGTCTCTCCATCCATCCTATCCATCCAATTCCTCTATTCAATCCGTCTGTCCATCCATCCTATCCATCCAATTCCTCTATTCAATCTGTCTGTCTGTCCATCCATCCTATCCATCCAGTCCCTCTATTTAATCCGTCTGTCCATCCATCCTATCCATCCAATTCCTCTATTCAATCTGTCTGTCCATCCATCCTATCCATCCAATTCCTCTATTCAATCCGTCTGTCCATTCATCCTATCCATCCAATCCCTCTATTCAATCTGTCTGTTCATCCATCCTATCCATCCAATCCCTCTATTCAATCCGTCTGTCCATCCATCTGTTCTTCCATACATTCTATCTAATCATTTAGTACTGTACCTTCTGATTTTTTCCTTCTTTTTTACTAGACTCACCTTCAGGTGATCCAACCCAAGCCAATCCAAGAACACCGTCATTGAAGTCCCGATAGGTAAAGATGTATCCCAAACAATAACGTTCATTTCTCTTTTGCTGAGAGTTAAGTTCAAGTAACTTTTCTACACCAATGTTGCTCTGTCGGAATGGATTGCTAGGGTCGTTCTCATGATTTGAATCGTTAACTAGCATCCGTGCAATAACGAACTCAATTTCTGAGAAGAAAATAAAATTTATTCTAATTTTATGGCATAATAATAATAATAATAATGATAATCATCTAATCATCATCATTAATGTTATTAACAATTGTTTACCAAAGGCAAAGTGATCATCGGTGAAATAATTACCGAGCCGCGAGTCTTCAAGTGGCAAGGTAAATATTCATCATAATCACCGAGCCTGAGGAGAATTATTCTTTTAGCATAATTTTAATTAACAATAATTATTATTTGCCGAAGGCGAAGTGAATATCAGGGAATATTTACCGAGACACGAGTCTTCCACTGAGGCTGGGGCAAATAATTGTTTTAGTATTATAAATACACAGGTGATTCTTTCAAAAAAAGAAGGGAAAAAAAAGAAAATAAAAGACATTTTTTCCCTGCAACAGCAACGAAGTGGCTGGCCGCCATTTTGGATTATCCCTGGAGGTGATTATCGTGTGATAGTGTGAGTTTCTTGACCAATCAGTGCACAAGATTTTCAGTAATCACCTGTGTATTTTTACTAAACTTTAATATCAGAGAAAAGTCAAAATTCAGTAAAGAAAACATTTGAGTATTGCTTCCGATCTGCAAAACTTTGGAAAGCCTCATATTATATCGTCTCAGAATCACAATCGCTCAACCAATCACAGCTCGAGAAACTCTATATTCAAGACTAAAATTATACTAATAATTATTAGTATTTTTACACATTAAGTGAATATTAATTGGTCACAATTTACATCTTATACTGCTAGTATATTTCCCTACAGGTGAATATAACTCGCACACATGCACGATCATTTGTCAATTTGTGCCACTTGCTGAGATACGTAAATGAAATTTGAAAAGAAAAAAATAATAAATTCACTTGTGTTAAAAATACTTAAACAATTATTTACCCCAGACTCAGTCGAATATCTGGGAATATTTACCGCGCCGCTCAAAGACTCGCATGTTGGTAAATATTTCAAATCCCGATATTCATATGATATTTTTTAATTATTATTAGTAGTGTTAAGCACACTTTTCCTATTTTGCCAATACTCACTGTCTGGAGTCGATCCAAAGAAAGCTATCCCAGGGTATATTGTGTTAATAGCTTGTACATGTTCAGTCATTTTTAGTAAAGCTCGCTCCTTGTTCCCTTGTCCTACATTTTCAGTAAAAAGATGATCAGCCTGAAAAAATAAAGGTGGAAAACATCAGTCTGTAGACAAATCATGGGAAGCACAGATGGCATGCCGACTGGTAATGGTTGTATCGTTGTGTACAGGAATTGTCAGGGGAATTCTATTCAAATTCAAATTTCGAGTAATGGGCTAGTAGTCCCTACGACCCTACGATAGCATAAATAATTAAGCTATAATAAATATTTATGTGCACGCGCTGATGATACATCGTTTAAATATGACTAAAAAATGAGACCACTCAACCAAATTTGCTTCGTCGTCTAGGGGTTAGGTTTAGGGTTAGGGTTGGTGTTGGCATTGTAGTAGTTCTTTGGTGCCGAAGGTACCAAGTTCAATTCTTGGTGTCTTCACTTAATTTTTTTTTCTAAGTGAGGAGAACCAAACACATGATGGATTTCAGTAAATGTTGAAACCATTGATAAATAACGAAACTACCATCATAGATTATTCTTAAAAGCATGGTTTACTGTGGGGGACAAGAATTCTCAAGGGTGTCGAGTGTGGGCTAGCTAACATTAGTATTCAAAATCTGTGCACAAGCCATCATTTCACTGATTAACCCTTTCACTTCTAGAGCGGCCAAAAGCGGCTAACCGGAAAAAACATTTTCGCTTTCCAATTGCCCATCCCCTAGGACATACAGGTATATTTTTCTTTTTGATATTGAGAAATAAAAGACACCCTAATTATGTTCCAGGAAGAGCCTGTGTTGGACCCTTATAGCCTCTAGTACTAAAAGGGTTACTAAATCCATTGGTAAAATAAAAATTAGTTAACAACAATTGAAGTCAGAGACAAACCAATTACTATTAACATCTAAAAAGAAGCTTGCAGGTACCTGCATAAAAAGCTTGCAAGACTTCTTCAATGAGTCAATTTCTTGACTTGCGGCACGCCTGTAGCGATGAAACACAGGCTCGTTATCACTGTAGTGAAACTGTAACCTTGGATCTTTGATTTCAGAAGCATGAACCTTCTCCATCCACTTCTTTGTTTGCTCTCTCATTCCACATCCACTACCATGCGCATAGGGGTAATGCACATCTTCACTCTTATAAATCACAGAATGGAATGGTTGCTTTCCCTGGAAGTATTTGTTGGAGGGTTCAACGTGGAATTCATCATTGCCAGCATGGATTTTTCCTTCGAAGATGCCGTCTGATATGAATCCATGTACGATTGACCTTTTATGTCCTGAAATAAAAGTAATACGTAGATATACGTAAAGTAAATGAATGTTTATAATAAGGATGAGGATAATTATGATGATGATGGTGATGATAATGGTGATGATGATATTAATAATGATGTATAATGATGACGATGATAATGGAGAGTGTGATAGTCGCAACAATGATGGTGATGTTGATGGTAGTGATGATGGTGATGATGACAGCAATAGTATGATGATGAAGCATGTCCAGTCCAATTATAATGATGATGGTGATGATAATGGTGATGGTTATCATGATGATGATGGTGATGATGATGGTGATGATGATATTAATAATGATGTATAATGGTGATGATGATAATGGAGAGTGTGATGGTCGCAACAGTGATGGTTATCATGATGATGATGATGGTGATGATGGTGATGATGGTGATGATGATGATGATATTAATAATGATGTATAATGATGATGATGATAATGGAGAGTGTGATGATCGCAACAGTGATGGTGATGTTGATGGTAGTGATGATGGTGATGATGATGGCAATAGTATGATGATGAAGCATGTCCAGTTAATATTATAATACTACTAATATATACTGTTTTAAGCTTTTCTAGTCTTACCTAAAACTTCGCCCTCTACAATTTTTGAAGGGTCAAATTCTGCATTTTCCGCAACAAAGTCATCAGAAAATATACTAGTGTGTCTTCGAAGACGGATCTTAAATTTCCTGTAAGACAAAAAATAATATAAATATCATGTTTTTTAGAAGATTTTATTTTGTAACAGAAAATTGAGGAACTAGCAATTTTAAGCCCAAGTTGATAAGTGCCCAAAACTTTGATCAGCCCAGAGATTGTTTCAGGATTCATGATTTAGATCAGCCCAGAGGTTGTTTTAAGGGTTTCATTAGTGAGTTAAATGTGCCCTGTCAGCCATGCCCCGACTTAGATCAGCCCAGAGGTTTTTTTAAGGGTTTCATTAGTGAGTATAATGTGCCCTGTTAGCCATACCCTGACTTAGATCAGCCCAGAGGTTGATCCAAGGTAGCCCAGGTTTGAGTACGTCCTACCAGGCTATGTGACATGTGTGTGTAAAGTTGTTTGTTGGTTCTTTTCCAAGCTTAGGCAGAGTCACAAAGCGACGGACTGCCCAATACCGAATATATTTTCTTCCAATGCCGTCAATATTTCGTGGTATTGTCCTCTCAAAATCATTAGTTTTGTATCAAGATTCTAAAGAATTTTAACACAAAAAAAGGAAAAACACTGACAGATTTTCTTTGATTAAAAGCGAAATTCTCCTAACGAGCGCTCGCTATGGCGCAAGCAACAAGCGTAAAAATTTTATGTGCGTGCGCTCAAGCTTTCCTTTTTGCTGTGCTTTAGCCAATCAGAAACCTTATTAATTATTTTGAAACAACAATACCACAAAATATTGTTTTCTCAAAAATATAAGAAACTATTTAGTGAATTGCGATACACTCCTAAATTCTAATTAAATCTATCAGTAGCCTTACCAAGTGGATTGCAGAACCTTATCCACCCACCATTAAGTGGTAAATGCAATTAGATTTTAAAATGTTTAATGGTTAATGTACACATAGAGTGTTTTCACTCGTGTGAGAAGACAGCCATAAACAATAGAAGCTTTCTGCACAGTATTTGCATAAAAATAGAGTTCAATTCCCGGGGGATAGAAAATGTATTGTTTTGGTACCCCATAAGGGCCACTGAGGTATTTAAACTTTTTGCTGAAATCGCTTCAAATAAAACCTAGCATGGGGGCAGAACTTTTCATGGTTTAAGGTATGAGATGGTTCCATAATTTCATATTTTCTTTCGGCCCTCTTCCTTCCTTTCGTTTTTCGTTATCTCTTTAAACAAAAACATTTTGAGTTCTACATGAGTGGCCTCACGAGTAATACAATTCACAAATTATCTTCAATATTGATTGAAAAAGACAGCTTATGCAAAAACTACATTGAATTTTTTTCTGGACAAGTAGAAAATGGAATATTCAAGATCTTCATCATTAGTTCTGGATCTTAAATATCAAAACCCCTTAGTTCCGCTTCAGAAATTCTAATTTGCATTTCTACAAATTAATACAACTTTACAAAACTTTTTTTTTCAAGAATATAAATTTAAATCCTAGAAATTTGACATTTAGATTTTTATTTTCTACAAAACTTGAAGAGGCAGATTAAGGTTAAGGCGAAGATCAGAATAAAAATTTCTAACAAACAATATTTCCGCTTAACGGTTTCTTGGTAAAAACAATGCTCACTTTGTAAATAAATATTTACATCTTAAAAAAGATTGCGTAGCCAAAAATTGATATCGAAATAGTTTAGAGGAAATATTGCTTATTGGAAATATCAAAACTTGAATAACTGCCTAAACTTAATCGCCTAGAGACAAATTTTTAATCTAGAATAATCTTCTTTTGTGGAGGATTTGAAGCCTTTATTTTCGTTGGTTAGGACATTTTTTTCATACGTGATTAATTAAATTCAATATATTTGTGACCCCAAAGAGTAGTCCAAAATTCCTGATATTTTGCAGATTGAAAGTAAAATGATTGTATTTAGTAAAAGTTGAAAAATAAATGGGTTATTTTACCTTCCATGGGCTTCAAAGTTCAATAAAATAGGGTTGGATTTTGGGTTAAGTGAGCGTCGATGACGGTCGTGCTGCTTGCTTAGAGCACTTGTGCTATAGCTCAACGTCTCGTAATATTTGATGTATTCCGATAGAGGACGCTCTGAGGACAAAAAATCAATGAATAATAAAATCATTAGGATACTAAGCCACTTTCGTAGCAATAAATGATAAAAATTCAAATGAAAATCTAGTTTACTTACGGTCTTCGCCATATGTAGTCAAGACACAACACCACAGCAAAACCACACACAATGTGAGCGAAAACATGCCTAAAAATCACTCTAGGATCCTTCCAGAGAAAAATGCAGCACCTATAGACAAATTTGAATCTATATATTGTCCCTTTTCGTTGTCTTTTGATGTAGAAGTTAAATATTTTGCCCAAAACTTAGATCCCAAAACTCACTTTCAGTTCAATCTGTCAAAGCAAAACTTTATAGCGTTGTCTACTACGCAGGCGCAGATTTATGTACTAAAGTACTTTGAAATGACGTCATATTTAAATATTCTTAAAAAGAAAATGAGAAAGTTATAGGTAATCTATTAATAATTTTGTATTACGTACTTTCATTCGAATTGTTTTATTGTCATTTTTAAAACCTTCTTTCTTTCTTCCTTTCGTGAGTTTTTTTTTCTTCTTCTTTTTGGGAATGTTCAAGAACACCTACATTAGCAGTGACGTAACATTACCTGCCAAAAGCGTCACAGACTAATACTTCTCTTTTGTTTTCTTAATTCGCTTTTGTGAGTTTAGTATTTAAAAGATTGCCGACAAAAGATCGCCGCATTTGATGATAGAAAGGAAAAATATCCAAGAGAGAAAAAAGGAGGAAGAAGAAAAATAACGGGTTTCGAAAGCCTTTAGCCAATACGATGTAAGAAAGAAAGAAAGAAAGAAAGTAAGTAAGAAATGTCTAGAAATTAATTGAGTATGAAGGAAAAAAGTGCAGAGACAGGAAATTAATCGATATTAAACTGCTATATATCAGCCAGAAACATAAATATATATGACTATGAATAATTATGCACTTTCGACATCACGACCTCATTTTTTCCCCACAACATCTAATCATGCGTCAAGAGCTTTTGTATGACGACACGAGAGTATGAACGAAGCGATTCCCGGTCCAAAACTATGATTTTTTGTACGAAGTGCCCAGTTGTGCCCAGTTGAGGTAATTCTTTTGCCTTGGTTTTAGTTGTGAACAGTTGCGTTACACAAAAATCTTTATCTTATTTAAGTCCAAAAACTCCCTTAATAGAAATACTTCAAGAGCTGTTTCTTTTTCGTTAGCTAGCTTCCTGTTTAGTCTCGGCGAGACAGCTGCAAGAAGTTGTGCTTAAACAACCTAAATTACCCTTCAAATTTTTATAGATACTCCTCTGGCCATGGCTGATCTAAGTCAGAGCATGGTTAACTCACAGTTTGAACCCTGAAACAACCTCTGGGCTGATCTAAGTCAGGGCATGGATAACTTACAGATTGAACCCTGAAACAACCTATGGACTGATCTAAGTCAGGGCATGGATAACTTACAGATTGAATCTTGAAATAACCTCTGGGCGCTAACTAATCTGCAGCTCACAGACTGGCAAAACGTTGGGTTTTCACATGGTATTTTGATGCGCATTTCCCATGGTTCTGTGCGCGCTCCTATCTGACATGACAATTAAATGTCGGACAAATGTTGAAGTGATGGTCTCGTGGTAAGATACAGAAGAAACAAAGAATTACGAGCCATTATAACATTCTTATTTGTTCAAAATTGCTATGTAAAAATCTAACCAAAAATAATTGACCCATAATTCCTTTCGGGGGACATGATCAACTCAGTCAATTGAATTTTGGTACAAGTTTGGGGTCACCCGCTCTGACCACGCTCAATTTTAGTGTCGATCGAATTACAGTCGGTAAATGTATATGAGAGATGAGACGGTAAGCCGTGTGGGATGGGCTATGAAATCATCTAAGAACTGAACTGAAAAAATGGGCCATTCACAACTTGAAGTCGCGTAAAAAATGAGCCAGCTCAACTAGAAACCGTGGACAGCTGATCTAGATCCTTAGATCAGCTGTCCACGGTTACTAGTTGAGCTGGCTCTTTTTTTACGCGACTTGAAGTTGTGAAAGGCCCATTGGCCCTCTTCTTCAGTCGTTTCATACAAGGCTCGTAATGTACCTATTACGCATGTTCTTAGTAGTAAATGCATGGAGTTTGCAAAAGAAAAAACAATATGAGCTAAGAAATACATTTGTAAACATTTTTTTAAAAAACTTACTTGATGTATTGATCCCTTGTGGGCCTAGGAAGAGTTTGAAGCCAATCCGTTCAGTATACATACACACACACACACACACACACACACACACACACACACACACACACACACACA